TTTACCTTTCAAAAATAATTTCTACTCTTCTCTACGTGAATAAGAAGAATCTGAAGAGCCATTTTCTCAAGGTAAATCTTCTTCTTCTTCTTTTTTCCTAGAAATGAAGTCTCTATTAGAATTTGTTCAAATGAAGTTTTTGTTATTATTTCTTTGATATTTTCCAGTTCGTCCAAATTATTTTTAAGTATTATTCTTTCATGTTGATCTACGAGAGCTAAACTCAGATTTTCTTACTCAATCATAGCTTATTAGATATGTTTTGGAAAGTAGATAAGTTAATTGCGCGAGTCATTTCTTGATTTTAACCAAACTTTTAGTAGAATTACACTTACGGTCGTATAATCGTTATGGAAAAGATCTTGCAATGTTTTGGTTTCCATCCGATTACTGTCATTTTTCATTTGCAAGAAGTGATTTAATTTATTTTCCCCAATTAGTTGGCGGTCCAATAATCGTACTACAAAAATCTTGCAATTTTGGTTTCAACAAAATTGTTTTTGCATTTAAAATTATATTAGTCGTATTCTCATTATTTGCATGATTCTCATATTACCCCTCCCGACGCCATGAATTGCGGTCTGTTTAAGTTTGGCCGAGAAGGGTATTTTCGGATACACTCACATTTTAATTCATTCATTGTTCATAGAGCTACCACAGTACCATCTATATAGCATTTAAAACAAATGCAATCTGATACATATAGGGACGAAAGATTACTAATTGAATATTGCAACTAATCCTTTTCTAGATGTGTCTTGACTAATTTTATGACTTGTTCAGTTATTCCTATGATTTATATTTTTCGTACTTATAGTAATAATAATACAAATTATTATATTTTTCGGTGGACTACACCGACCGAGGTAAATAGTAATTACTACAGCCAACTAAACACACACATGGACTGGTCATTTTGTTCCCCGACTTTTTGGTGTCCCAATGGACCAATGGTGTTATTTTTTATGTAACATTTATTTTCTCAATTCAATAAGGTATTAGTTATTACTTCGATACAGAAAAAGAAAAAAGAAAAAAGTTAGCCTTATTTTAATTTAACACCATTTGCAAATTACACATGTACCATAACTTGAGATCCGATCACAGCTCTTAATCTCAGAACTTTCTATTAGAGCCAAATCCTCTACATTATTTGGGAATTAATTAACATTCTAATCGAATTTTCTATCATTATAAAATATGTTATCTCCAGACAAGATTATTTTAACTAATTTGTGAGTTATTTATTTATTTTTGTTACAGAATGGCGAGGCTAAAGCAATTGTGGTCAAGTTTTTTGGTGCTGGCCGTGGTGGTGATTGGGGCCAGAGCTGTGCCCATCACATATCTTGAATCCGCGGTAGCTAAAGGAGCTGGTAAGCAAGAACTTTTTCTCCTAAATGCTTAATTAGAAGTAACGTTTGAGCATGGATCATAGCCTCATAGGAATAGATAGAGAAAAATTGAATTAAACCGAATAAGGGGAACTAAATGAATTTTTTTTTAAACCGAATGAGAACTTTAACAAAAAAAACCGAAGGACCCCAAACTCAAAAGTCAAATTTTTCAACGTTTTAGTTTTTCAGAAAAGAGTTCGAGCATCTCCAGTTATGTTCTACATTTTGCTCCAAATTCTATATTTAGAGTAAAATCATCTTCATTGGTACACTAATTTGGAGCCACACTAATCATTTTTCTATTTTTGAAGCACAATTATTTTCTATAATTTACAAAGTACTCTCTCTATTTTAATATATTGTCATTTTATACCTAAACAAATTATATTATTTAATTTTATACTTACATAAATTAATATTAAAAACATAGCTACTAAATTATTTAAATTCTAAAATACAACAATAACATGTACTTATTAAATTAGATTATACAATGATATCACAAACAATAAATTATAAATACATGATTATAGCACCGAAAGTTAAAATATATATTAAAAAAAAAAACTCAAACAAACTTGCAGTTAAAGGAAAAACTTAACACAGCCTAAACTATTGATTGAATAATCCGGTAAGTCGCTTCTTGATCCATTAAGATTATCAAAATATTGACCGAATGAAATAGATGCCTACGAAGCTTGTTGATGATCAAGTCTTTTCTTTAAGATTTTTGCTTGTTGAGCTTAAATATATGATTCAAATATTTCGTATTTGTTTAAAACTAAATAAGTGGGTAGAATTTGTAAATTTAAAAAATAAAATATAATATATTCGGAATATTTATTTAGTATAAAAAATAGAGCCAATTTTGAAGCAAAAGTCCATTCTATATTTAAGATAATCCTAAATTTAGTGTAAAAATAGATCCAGTCATTGGAAATGGTCTTAAACCAAGTTCCTAAAAATCCAAAAATAATTTGGGTTTTTCTGTATCAATCCAAAAATAATTTGGATTATAAACCTTGTTTTTTGTGTTTAATCATGAGAATAATTTGAATTTTCGATCCATTTCAATTCCCAAATTGACTGATATCTATTTTTATTTAAAGTATTTATTTCGAGATAAATAGTTAAGAATCAAAAAAAAATTCTAAATTGTTTGGTATCGAAGTCATACCAAATTTAACTTTTCAAAAAAAAAAAAATTGTAGATAAAACCATTGTTATAACTAATTACTATGTTTATCAAAAAAAAAAAAAAAAAAAAAATCTAATTACTATATTCTTTGTAGTGTGTTTGGATGGTAGCGCACCAGCATACCATTTCGATAAGGGATCTGGCTCAGGAGCGAACAATTGGATCGTTCATATGGAAGTTAGTATTATTGTTTTATTTTTTGGCAGCTATTTCATTTAATTAATATTATCATAAATTATACAAAATATAATGATATTAATGAAGTATGAATATAATTATGTGAATATTAGGGAGGAGGATGGTGCACTGATATAGCTACATGCGTACAACGTAAAAGTACAATGAAGGGTTCTTCTAAGCTTATGAACAAAGACTTTGGTTTCTCTGGTATCTTGGGTGGCAAGCAAAGCACCAATCCAGGTTCTCAATTCTTTTTCTCTCTTATCATTTTGTCCAACGAATTAATGATTTGTTTTCTCATGTTTTTTATGCAATGAGACTGAACCGGATTTGGGTAATTTGCAGACTTTTACAATTGGAATAGAATCAAAGTTCGGTATTGTGATGGTTCATCTTTCACTGGCGATATTGAAGCTGTTGATCCGGTAATTCACTAGACCATTACCCTTAAACTTAACATTTAGATTGAATATTTTGGAACAATTTAGTTGAAATTCCATATTTTAACACTGGAATATTTGACTATTTTCAGACGAACAAGCTGTTCTTTCGCGGTGCTAGGGTTTGGCGGGCAGTGATCGATGATCTTATGGCTAAGGGAATGAGCAACGCTCAAAACGTATGTAAAATGAAAATTTCAAAAATGTGTATTTTAATTAGTGAATTTTTTAGTTGTTGGAATTTAAAATGTTTGGTTACATGAATTTCAGGCGATACTCTCTGGTTGTTCAGCTGGAGCATTGGCTGCGATTCTACATTGCGACCAGTTCAAGTCCATCCTCCCCAAAACGGCTAAGGTCAAATGTGTTTCTGACGCCGGTTACTTCATCCACGGGTAACATTCATAATATCTAAGGAGTCACACATAAAATTGCATAATTCAAATAGCATCCTAGAAAACAAAATAACAACCTTTGTTAATTTTGTGGTTTGAACAGTAAAGATATCACTGGAGGATCTTACATCCAATCGTACTACGCCAAAGTCGTAGCGACCCACGTACGATATATCTCTCTTTTCCGACCATATTTCTCTAGTATATTAGATGTATCCCATCGCGGCTAATCTTGATCACTATTTTCAGGGATCTGCAAAGAGTCTACCTGTTTCTTGCACCTCAAGTATGAAGCCCGAGTTGGTAAGTTTATTGAAAACATACTTGACATGATACATTTTTTTGAGTTCATTGCATCGTATAAACGTTGAACTGTTTTCTACAGTGTTTCTTCCCTCAATACGTTGCTCAGACCTTGCAAACACCGCTTTTCGTCATCAATGCTGCTTTCGATTCTTGGCAGGTTTGATTTTGTTCTTCTTATTATTTTTTCCGTAGAAATATCAACCCGAGAGATCGAGATATGATTTGGATTTGATCTGCCTGTTTCTTGCAGATCAAGAACGTTTTGGCGCCAACCTCTGTTGATAAAAGCAAAGCGTGGAAGACTTGTAAGCTTGATCTTAAGAAGTGTACGGCCGCTCAGCTTCAAACCGTTCAAGGTATGTTTTACCTTCACAGGGAATTGCTCAACAAATATGGTTTAATGTCTTTTTGACTAAACCAATTGGTTCATTATAATATCTCAGGGTATAGAGACCAAGTGTTGGCTGCGCTGGCACCGGTTCGATCTGACACAACGAGCGGATTGTTCTTAGACTCGTGCCACGCTCATTGCCAAGGTGGAAGCGCTGCCACTTGGTCCGGCGATGGAGGTCCTACAGTGGCGAATACGGTAATCACCTGATTTTCTTGTACAAAATAAATAATATGAAACTGATAAGAACATATACAACACAATGACACAAGTTCTAGTTACAAAATAACTACAGTTTTAGAAGAAACAAATTTAGTCAACTTATGTTTTGGGTCTATTGTTATTTCAGAAAATGGCTAAGGCTGTTGGAGATTGGTTCTTTGAAAGGAGTACTTTTCAGAACATAGACTGTTCATCGCTGAATTGCAACCCTACTTGTCCTGCAGTATCTACTGAAGACTAAATTTTATTTATTGATGTTTTAAAATTTGAAATAATTTATTCATCTTTGGAATATTTTTCTTGAAATTTAAAAGTACAATAATATAATTGATACAATTTCATTCGAATAAATAAAATCATTTGCCCTGTAATCATGTAAGCTATTTTATATTATCAATCTTTTTTTAATATGTTCTCAATCTTTTTATATAGCTACTACTAGCTTTGACCACATTGACAGAAGTTGCAATACAGAAACAAAGGTGCTCATGAAACACACAACAATAAATGGATTTACTTGATTTCTTACAGATATGCTGGATCAATTTGGTTCATAAGTTTACATCTTTTAAAGTATGAATTTTGTTTTCCAGTGTAAGCTACAAACAACAAGCAAAACACAACATTTTTGATTCAGTTGCAGGCACAAACCGATGAATGTTCCTGGTCTCTTGTAGAATCAAAATCTTTCAGCATTATGTCTATAAGACTGTAATCAATGTTGTTCCAATGATGGATCATGTCTACAAATATCTCCTCGACATAGCGGACACACTCTGCATCACCATAAAAAGATCATCAGATCATCTCATACACAAATTAGCTGTCACCAAACATCACATTAAATATCACATTCATACCTGTGAATCTCCTTGAGCCATTTATCCACACAGGTTTTGTGGAATTCATGATGACAAGGAAGTGTCCTTATAGTGTCGGCTTCTTCATATTCCACAAGGCATATGTAACATCTGAAAGAGTCCAGAAAAAAAATAGAAAACATGTTTAACCATAAGGCCTCAACTTTTGAGCATCACAATTGGCAAAAGAAAGATCTTAGAATTTAGTAGGCATTTACTGTGACGGATCCTCGCTTTGTGACTTGGTGTAAAGTTTTATCGGTAATAAATCCACAACGTCGTTAGGTGCAGGAACAGATCCTATAGATGATACTGATGGTTGTTGAGAGGATAAGACAACCGATTGCTGATGAATTTCATCAAGAACCTAAAATGAATACACTATAAACCCTTAGGATACAGGAGAAAGAAAGAGAGTGGCAAATAGCTGTTGATAAGAAGACCGAAGACATATATTTACCTCAAAGAGAGCTTCAGCTAGCAATACTATCCTCGAGATGCTAGCTCTTGCATTTGTTTCGTCGGTTGTTGCTGTTGTGGAGCCACGGTTAGTAACTGCACGGCATGTGCAACGACCTGCTTGGTCTTGACCTGATAAGACACAAGATCTATCATGATGGACTGCGACATTCTCAAACCGGCTTCCTAATCTTTGAAGAGCGCGAACCTGTGAAATTAGTTATATCAGTTAGTTAGATCTTGTGTTGAGCAGAAACATCAAGGAAGAGAGAATCAATGAGTTCAAACCTGCGATCTTATTCTCCTCCTCCTTTCAAGGAAATCTGATCTGTGTTCTAATAAACCTTGATACCTCCCTTCTCTCACAAGAGGAGCTGGTGTCTCGTGATCTTGAATGCCAAATAAGGTCCTTCGAATGCTAGAAGCGGATCGATTTAGTATAGACGTTGAAGTCACAGGAGCATCCTCTGCTGCTGCGGTTTCAGCAGAGAAGAGATCAGTATCTTCGTCTCCCCGATGTGGCGAGGGACGGAATGCGAAATCAGAGAGTGAAGATCGGCGAAGAACTCTGTCACGGAGTCTTCCAACACTCAGAGTTCTGCTAAATCTAACATTCCGATCAATGGAAGGCTCCCGAACTACATGTCTTCTATCAAGAATTCCAGCATAACTACTGTCCATACCATTAACTACTCTCGGAGAACGTAAGCTACCATCTTCCCCAAATCTCATGGCATCAATATCTCTAACTACATTGTCAATCACAGGAATTATCGGAGACTCAACTCTATCAATGAGCCTAATAGCAGATTCTGAAGGTGAAGTAACACCTTCTTCTTGACGAGAAGAAGAGACCGGATAAGTAGTGTTGAAAAATCTTGAGCTTGATGCTCTGGTAAGTCTAGAGCCTATGTTACCAGGGATGAATTTAAAATGCGAAAAAACTCGACCTGGAGTAGAAGATTCTTGAATCGAACCACTAACATTTCCCCTCTGTACATTGCTTACATTAGCTTCCTCTTCTTCTTCTTCTTCTTCTTCTTCAAGCTCAAGCTCATCACAATGTGTTTCGTTTTCAGATTTCTTCTCATCTTTCAATTCTTTATCATAGCAATCAGATGCATCTCTACTTGTCTCCATTCTACGCCGTGAAACACTTCCATGACTCTTCCTCATCCATCCATTACACACCTGAAAAAATCAAGACTCATGAATTTGACCTAATTTCATTAAGCAATGAAATTGCACAAAAAAAATCAAAAACCAGACCTGTTCATCATTATCATCGTCACTATCATGAGAAGTAGAAGATGAAGCAAGACAAGAAGAGTGAAGACCACAAAAAAGACTCTTTGATCTTCTCCTCCTTCCACCACCACTAGAAGACGACGGAGGAGGTTGAGCCACGTCAGAAACTTCTCTCGCTGCCAGCGACGAGCCTAGACATGATTTGCTCCGACCAGATCCCATCTTCTTCTCAAAAGCAAACAAATTTCTGCTAAAATTACATCATTGCCACAAGACCCACAAGTTTTTTCCCCATCTTCTTCAAATCCAGCAATCGAAGAAACCTCCAAGTCAAAATCTAAAGATCGAAACTTTTTCCTCAGATCTTTACATTGAAACCCCAATTCGTCATCGACAATGCAGAATCAAAAGCCCTAATTATTGAATCCCAGATCTGAAACTCGATCTTGAAGGGGGAAAATTTGGAAAAAGTACCTAGAAATCTGAAGTTTTTTTTAATGAAGCAACTAAGCTATGTGTGTTTTCTTTAACCAAAGAGAAATGCTTTGAAGAAAAGGAAAGAGTTTTTAGGTGATCGGAGTAATCGAAGAAGGAGACAAAGCACCTATCTGCGATAGAGAGAGAGACTTTTACGGGAAGAGTGTGTTTTGATGTTCGAACGAGAGGGAACAAAAAACCAAACTCCCATTTCTTTATTTTTCCACTTTTCTTTTTCTTCGAATTATTTTAACATTTTTTTCGTTTGAGTTCAAATTATTTTAATCTTTTTGCAATCATAATTGGACTTCATTGACGACTATAATTGAGAAAAAAAAAGTTTGAAATGGTCATTCAACATTGATCACTAGGTTGAAAAAAGTTGTAACCAAACAAAAATAAATATTTAAGTTATACTCAAAACTGAAGTTTGTTTACAAAGTTTTTTGGTTTTATCAATTGAGAATCGGATATATCAAAATCGAATTTGAACCAAAACCGAATTATAATTGGATTCGAATGACTTTAAAGAAGCAAAAGATATATTAAGAATGAATATAGCCGGAACACTAAATAAAAACAAACTAATAAATATAAATCAAAATTTTTTATGAAGTGATTGTTTTCATCATTTTACAATTTAGGTATAGTCGCAAGTCCGACCTAGAGGACAAGCGCATTATCCAACCGTTTTTGGCCACTAATTTATTTTATGTTTCTGAGGATCATTTTTTTTTTTTTTGATTATAGTTATATCTTAAGAGGCACAAAATTTTATTTTCACTAAAAATTGTTGTTTATTGAAATATTTAACACAATTTACATAATTTTGAAACTAACACTTTTTAAGATTTTGAATAACAGACAGAAAGAAGGCCAAAAAAAATTGATTCGCGCCACTATTTTTGTTCGATTGGCCGTGTATAGTCGATATAAAAACCAAACAAAAACAAATTTTAACGCATGAGTCGAATCAAATAAACGGAAGTTCATTAACATTTTATATATTTTTAATTATAATATTAAATTTTACCAAACCTACCTAAAATAAAAACCTGAATCAACCGAATTTACAATCTAAACCAAAATCAAATCGAAAGACAAATGTTATTCAGTTTAAAAAAAAAAATTTTTTTTTATAAAACCATAAAAAAGGATTAGAAACAAAAACGTAAAACACATTGTCTCATTCCTAATTCCTAACACTGATATCACTTTGGGTGTAAATGGTAGCCTAAAATTAATAAGCTAAAAGAATTGAATGGGTATTTATGTAATTTTTTATCATTTGAGATGAATAAGTTAGAAAAATGATTTAACACTTTCAACGTAAAAAATTGAAAATTTAATAAATTATATAGAAAATTTGTTCATCTCCTAATTCGCAGATTTCAACCCTTTTTTTTCAACTCAATTTTTTCAATTTGTTCATCTGTATGCAAGCCAGTTGCACCCTTTGTGAAAACTGGTTACATTGTCGATTGTTGACCCAAAAAAAAAGGGTTATATGGTCGATTTTGTTAATAAGAGACTTTTAACGTAATTAATCATAATTACCAACTTTCATTTGTAAATCCATAAAAGTTATATAAAAAAATCCCAAAATGTGAAACAGCAAAGAAGCGAACAACTTCAGGGCACAAAAATGCACACTCTCAACACCACCACCGGTTCGCAAGATCCGAATTTCGACCCGATTCCAGACCCGGATCAATTTCCCAACCGAAATCGCAACCTTCAACAATCTCGAAGGCCACGTGGCTTTGCCGCTGCGGCTGCAGCAGCGTCAATAGCTCCAACGGAAAACGATGTAAACAACGGAAACATCGCCGGAATCGGCGGTGGAGAAGGAAGCAGCAGCGGAGGAGGAGGAGGAGGAGGGAAAGGGAAGAGAGAAAGGGAAAAGGAAAAAGAGAGAACGAAACTTAGAGAAAGACATAGACGAGCAATCACAAGTAGAATGCTCGCCGGATTAAGACAGTACGGGAACTTTCCGTTACCGGCGCGTGCTGATATGAACGATGTAATCGCTGCTTTGGCTCGTGAAGCTGGTTGGAGTGTTGACGCCGACGGTACTACTTATCGGCAATCACATCAACCAAACAATGTGGTTCGAAACTTCGAAACTTTCAAGTTTCTTCATTTGAAATTTGGTGACTTTTTAAGTTAGGGTTTAGAGGAAAGCTGATAAGTTTGATCCCAAATATGTGTAGAAGCTCTTAAAGTTATTAGCTTTGTTCTGTTATTAATAATTAATGTAACATAGATAGTGTTAGATGAATCTTGATTGTTTCATGTTATTGGATAGGTGCAGTTTCCGACGAGATCTATTGAGAGTCCACTTTCTTCTAGTACATTGAAGAACTGTGCTAAGGCTGCACTTGAATGTCAGCAACATTCAGTTCTTAGAATCGATGAGAATCTTTCTCCTGTGTCTCTTGATTCTGTTGTTATTGCCGAGAGTGATCATCCCGGGAATGGAAGGTATACTGGTGCTAGTCCTATCACCTCGGTCGGATGTTTGGAAGCCAATCAGGTGAATGATAACAGTAAAGTTAAATTCATTGCCTTATTAGGAGAATTGACTTTGAGCTGGACATTGTTTCATCTAACCACTTTATTGTTTTTTCAGCTTATACAAGATGTTCATGCAGCAGAGCCACGTAATGACTTCACAGAGGGCTTTTATGTCCCTGTGTACGCCATGCTTCCAGTGAGCTTCTGATGAGAGAACTATGTGTTTTAAGTGTATATATATGGATGTTGCCCCCAAAAAAAAAAAATTGTATATATGGTCATAGTTTTTTTCCAGTTTTGCCGCCATCCTTAGTTTTCTTGCGCTAAAGTTCTGTACTTTGTCTTTCAGGTTGGCATTATAGACAGCTTTGGCCAGTTGGTTGATCCTGAAGGTGTAAGGCAAGAATTAAGTTACATGAAGTCATTAAATGTCGACGGAGTGGTAATAGATTGTTGGTGGGGAATAGTTGAAGGATGGAATCCTCAGAAATATGTATGGTCTGGCTATAGGGAGCTCTTTAACATTATCAGAGACTTCAAACTTAAACTACAGGTGTGAATATTTTTACTTGCAGAGCTTTTTCAAATACATCCTATGTGACTAAACTGTAACTATAAAGTAACGTCTTTTTCATAATATCTTAGCAATTAGTGTATGATTTATTTGAAGGTGGTGATGGCATTTCATGAATATGGAGGGAATGCATCTGGAAATGTTATGATCTCGTTGCCCCAGTGGGTTTTGGAAGTTGGAAAAGACAATCCAGACATATTTTTTACTGATCGTGAAGGAAGAAGGAGTTTCGAGTGTTTGAATTGGAGCATTGACAAGGAACGGGTATTGCATGGACGAACTGGTATAGAGGTACTTAAAGAACACTCATTACTCGGATATTGTTACGCATTTTGGTCTATTTCCTCCTCTTTGTACAGTCTAGATTCTTATTTCTTCCTTTTCAACACTTGATTATTCAGGTCTATTTTGATTTTATGAGAAGCTTCCGGTCAGAGTTTGATGACTTGTTTGTGGAAGGACTAATTGCTGCAGTTGAGATTGGTCTTGGAGCTTCTGGTGAACTAAAGTACCCATCTTTCCCAGAAAGGATGGGTTGGATTTATCCCGGTATTGGTGAGTTTCAGGTATTTTTCAGTGTGCTGAACTTTACTTCTAACTGATGACTAGTGAAGTTTGAGCTTACGTAGTTAACATATCAATTTACTATTTTTCCTATTGCAGTGTTATGACAAATATTCGCAGTTAAATCTGCAAAAGGAAGCAAAATCACGAGGATTCGCTTTCTGGGGTAAAGGACCAGAGAATGCTGGTCAATACAATTCTCAACCACATGAAACTGGGTTCTTCCAAGAAAGAGGTGAATATGACAGCTACTATGGCCGTTTCTTCCTAAATTGGTATTCGCAATTGCTAATCGGTCATGCTGAGAATGTTCTGTCTCTTGCAAATCTCGCGTTTGAGGAGACAAAGATTATTGTCAAGGTATAATCTTTTTGGCACTTATCCTTCAAAACCAGTGATGCCTATAAATGAGACTCATACACAAAAAACAATGCAGATACCGGCGATTTACTGGTCTTACAAGACAGCTAGTCATGCTGCTGAATTAACTGCAGGATACTATAACCCTTCAAACCGTGATGGGTACTCTCTTGTTTTCGAAACTTTGAAGAAGTATTCTGTGACTGCAAAGTTTGTGTGCCCTGGGCCACAAATGTCTCCGAATGCGCATGAAGAAGCATTAGCTGATCCAGAAGGCTTAAGTTGGCAGGTAATGACACTTTGTATTGATGACTATAGCTTTTCTTGCTTCTCTGCAAATGTAATCTAAACCCTAAAGTTTGGTTATTTGTGGCAGGTGATCAACGCAGCTTGGGATAAGGGACTTCTTATTGGCGGAGAGAATATGATAACTTGCTTCGATAGAGAAGGTTGTATGAGATTAATCGATATAGCTAAACCGAGGAACCATCCAGATAGCTATCACTTCTCCTTCTTCACATATCGTCAACCTTCTCCTCTGGTTCAAGGATCTACTTGCTTTCCAGATTTGGACTACTTCATAAAACGCATGCACGGTGAGATTTTATCCGCATACTTGATTGTGTCTTCCCCTTAGCTCCATTGTAAAATCTTTGTTCTTACAACTCTATTTGTTTCTTTGCAGGCGACATACAGAGATAAACAGTGTCTGGAACACAAAACAGATCACTAGAAGTTGCAGGGTTTTAGGATTCTTTAAGTAAGTATCTTTTGTTTAAAACTTCAAAATCTGTTTTGTCTTGTTTATTCTCCTCAAGGCCTATATTTAAGAAGATTGATCTTGTAATCTGTAAACCCATTAACACTTCACTAGTTGATGATGAACTAACTAATTAAACTCTTAAATGCATTCTAATCCCACTCACATAAAGCAGACACTTGTTTAGTTTTATTTTGAAAAATACAAGAAGGTACTAGTAGAGCCGAAAGTCGTACCTAATTAAGTTAAACCTTTTGACTAAGGAGGGGTTATTGGATCATTGATTTGAATAGAATTAGAAATCTCTATCACATTTGGAAATTCACACATAATCCACTGATTTTAAAATCAAACAATGTGGATTTGAAAATCAAATAAAGTTGATTTTAGAGTCAAATAAAATGGATTTGAAAATCATAGAAAATAGATAATAAAATTAAAACATGAAATTTTTTATGATAAACAAAATAACTTATCATGTTCTCATCTATGAACTCTGAATTGAATCACTCCACATGTTTGATGATCTTGTTTCTCTCCACTGATTGTTCTCTCCACACATATAGGAAGATATCAAAAAAGTCCATAATTTGGAAAAAAAAACCGTTCGTTACGATGCGGTTAAAGTGATTCACCAATTGGGGATGAAAGAAATCTTTGTTAGTATGTCTACTAATGAACGTCATGGTTGGATTAAGCGTAACATTATGGAATGTTAGATTAATTTTTTTTTGTTTTCTAGTATTGTTGGTTTTCTAGAATTTTTCCTCTAGTCTTATTTGGTTTCGAAAACCTTCCTTTGTTTTCTAGTATTTTTGATTTTTATTATATGATAAAAATATACTTTTATATGAAGGTGTTTCATGATTTTTGGTATTAGCAGTTTTTTTTTTTGTGATCGATATGCTTGAAAGTATTATACGAAGATGTTTCGTGATTTTTGTATTAGCAGTTTTTTTTCTTTTTGATATTCAAAACATTATGGAAAATAAAAACTACTAATATTTTTTTTTTTTTCAAATCCACCCAAATAACTAGGTGGAACCCAAGGATTTCAATCTCTCTATTTATAACTAAAACAGATTTTCAAATCCATTCAAATCCAATATGAAATCAAATCCATACTCAAATCTTCAATATTGAATAAGGGGTGATTTGAACTAGTATTTGTAAATCATAGAACCAATAACACATGATTTTTATAAAGATTTTAAAATCAATGATTGAATAACACATGATTTTAGTTAGATTTCCAATTCCATTCAAATCAATGATCCAATAAACCCCCCTAAATTGTTTTTAGAGAAACCTTTTTGACCATAATGCCCGAATCCTATTAAACTAATGATGTTATTAACTTTTGTTCAAAGTTACATCTTTCTTTCATCATTCAAAACGTATTCTGATAAAATCCAGATTTTTAAATCTTCCAACAGAATCTTTAAAGAACAAATAAAGAGGAAAAAAGGCAAAACATGTCCTTTGGCATTCAGTTTCAATATATACAATTCAGTCTTGGTCCATAAGAAGATAAATAAATAAGCATAAGAAATAGGGAAGGTTAACTACAAACAAAGCCTATATATTATACATATCCAAATGTGGGATAAATAGAAAAAAAATCCCAGAAATTTTCTCTAAGCCGAAACATTTTTCTAACGAATGGTACTAAAGCTTCCAATTTTTTGTTTTTTTTTTTTTCTCGTACAAAACCTCCAACTAATTAATTTTTTACAAATAAACTTATAAACCATTAAATTTGAGCGCAAGCAAGGTAAACTGTTCTTGACGACATTTAGTTTCTGAAATTCACATATATTAGTACCATGGGAAAGATAAAAAAATTTAGTTATGAATATAAGAATACAATCTTTTCTAATTTTTAGGATTTATATAGGGTGAACAACCGTTTACTATTCTGAACGGACTTGTCGTTGACCATCAACACTCATCTACACCTTTGTAAAACCAGCATAAACCCTAAAAAATTTCTCAAAACCCTATAAACCATAAAGCTTGGAGATTTACAGAGTTTCCATCAGAATCTGTTGATATCTAATATCTAAATTCAATTACCCGTTAAACATTGATAACTAATGAAGAATTCGAATACAAGATCTATATAGCACAAAAACCCTAGATCCTAAAATTTCAAAAACAAGATCATTATTCTTAAGGCTTCAAAACTAAACAAAAGACTAAACCTTTAAGGAAAAAACAACAAATTATCTTGATTTAGATAAAACCGAATCAATCAATCAAATTAAAACGAACAATAAACAAAAAGTTTTCAAGATTCTACCGCAAAAAAGATTGTATCAGATCTGAAAGTAAGATCCTTATTTTTTTCACCTCGGACTCCGATTCAGTTGATACAAGACGGGATCTCACAAACCAACCATGACAACACACGTGTAATTGTCAGCTAATCAGTTCCCGACCTGCACCAAGCGAATCCGAGACCGCCGGTAACTTTAAATCATCGTATTTCTCTCTCTATCGCTCACTGGAAAAAAGGTGAAAGATAATAAGGAGGAGAAAACAGTTACCAAATCTGGCAAAGATTTATTCTGTGATTTAGGTCTTTCTCAAATATCGAGAATACTTTAGCCTCCTTTGGTGGGTATTTAATGAAATTGACTAACCAATTATTTGTCGACGCGTGTCTCCTTGAAAAGTCTTCTATTTCTGTTTGTGCACGTGTACTTAACGTCGGAACTCGAATCCTGTGACTGTCACGTGGAACCGGTATAATTCCCGGTTTGCATGCCTCCAAATCAGATAGTGATAAATCCCGGTTTGGTCGTTAATCCTACTAATATTATTTTAGGATAATTATCTAAAATTACCACATTTTGTTTGTTAGATTTTTTTCTTAACAATAGCACAAATTCAATCTTAATTAAGTTCGATTTTTTTTTTAAATGAGATTTCTCAATCCTAGTGGTTACATTGACAGTGATAAATTCACATAAATATTTGTATAAAAAACTTATATTTATTTTCTTACCAAAATACATACAGATCCCGGTTCAGTCCGGTTTGGCTAGACTAATAATTACATTCACAGAATGAAGTAGTAAAAAGATTTTTTGCTTAACTAGCATAGTTAACAAGCTCCAGTGACGCAGGGACTGAGCCACCATGGAGCAAAGCGAAGACCGAGCCAACGGTGCTAACGACTCGCGGGACCACAATTCGAGCAACTCTTGGTAGAGTCGGGTAAGTAAGAGTACCGACGATAAACCAATTGAGACTCATGAGAGCAACTGCATCTAAAGCCGGTTTATTCTTAACCGTAGAGAAAAATTGAACCACACTTCTTAAAGAGATACCAACCACAGTGAAGAGTGCTCCTAAAAGTGGAGTGCACAGCTCTTGTTCTTTGGCTTCATACATTACTATACCCACCACTAGAGCGAGCATCGCGCTGAATACACTTCTTGAAACCGCAATTTTCCTCTCTAAATCGAGGACTCTTGGTGTCACTTCTTCGTCTTTTGGGATTGTCGATTTTGCAAACGGATAAAGAGGTGATTTAACCGATGTGAACTCTGCATTTCCCTTTGATTCACAAGGGATATTCTTCGGCTTCGGTATGCTACGGATTTCGCTTGGTTCTTCACTGGTTATAACTTTGTCTTTCTTGCTCCAATAGTCTTTTCCATTAACTTCCTTCAACTGAAGATTTTCCTCTTTTAGTTCTTGCAGCTGCCAAAATCCAAATGTTAAGAACATATGTACATAAGGTTATGCAACAATTAGATTAAACCATTTTGTTTTTTACCTCAGCCTCTAGCTTTTCTATTTTGGAAATAGCTTCATCATGTTCATCTTCTAGTTCATCTAAGTCGCGTTCCATGATTCGGTATTCTTTTATTGCTGCCCGGAGATTCTCCTCTATCTCTTTTCTATTCCTTTCAAGACTCTCTACCTCATACCGCAACTCATAAATACTCTGCTCAAGCTGCAAATACAAAATTCCTTTAATTCAGAATCAATCAAAGATTACTAAAACAATCGAAATTAGCTTAAATCTCTAGGAGCAGCACTACATCTTGCACATTCACTCAAAGTAAAAAAACTTTTTTTTCTTAGAATTTATCAAAGATTACCAAAACTGGATACAAGAAAGGTTTACAAACCGAACGAACCAGTCTTTCCCTTGGTATAGAGACGAAAAAGCGAATCGGGAACGTAAAAAGAAGAACCGATCCCCAGATTGATCCCCACACAGCTCTCCAGAGCATACTTAAGTTGAACCAAATTGCAGAAGTCACCATATCAGTAGACACAAAGGTTGTGACAAGAGCTGTTCTAAGACAGAACACACATGCAGATATGCAGAAAAAGAAAGGTCTGGTCATAAGATAAACTGAAGATGAGACCAAGCCAGAAATCAAACCTCCAAGATCCATTTGTCTTCACCTAATTTTTTTTTCCCCTATAACAATATGAACACAAATACTATGAGTCACTGCATAATGGATTTCCCAAAAATAAGGTACTCAAGACTTTTGAAAGTTAAGAACCCTATAACTCGTTAACTCGTTAAGAACCCTATAACTCGCTAATGAACCAAGATGCTTCTAGTTTATATTGAAGCGACAGCTTACGGCTTACCTTTTTTAAGCTAAGAGTAAGAGCCAGAGTTGTAGCGACTGAGGCAGAGTATGAGGAAAATTGGTAGGGAAAGAAACAAAGAGGTGGCAGAGAGAGGAAAGCAATTAACGACACGTTGAGTGATGAGTGTATTTCTCAAGTCATTTGGATAAAGACCAAAGCTTTAAAATTCTAGTTGGCGGAAAATCAAAACTTAATAAAAGAGTACAATAAAACGTTATAAAGAATAATTAACTATATAAAAAATAATATTTTTTCCGTTTTTTATAAGAGGTTTTACAAATTAGATAAAATAAACTATTGTAGATAACAAAATGATTAGAGAAGAAATCTTGAGAAACTAAAATTAAATCAAGATTTGAGAATAAATCAAGAAGATTAGAGAAGAAATCGAGAGAATTATTAATTTTGATATCAATTTTCTTCTTTCGGTTCCGATTTTGTCAACGAGAATTCGTGATTAAATTGAAAGTTAACATAAAATTGAGCATTTTAATCACCATGGACAAAGTTCATGTTTTAAATCAACGAAAATGAACAACTGATGATTTAAATGATATTTGATATTTTCCCCTATGATATATTTATTAAGGACTGTTTAATGTCTTTGTAGTATAGCTTGCCAACAAGTTATCTTTGAAAACAGTCATAATTTTTTTTTTAGAATTTTGCATCAACTCATCAAACATCAAGAGGAAAATCAGAAGCAACAGGTCTAAAATATGCAGCAACATGTTCTAAATTTTTTATTGAAACATCTCTTGCAACATGAAAAAAATGAGGTAAATATTGTAATTAGTGTGATGCTTGTGCTTTGGTTTTACATTTGTTATTGCTATTGCAAAACTGATATAAGACATTGTTGATTGTTGCAGGGAATGATAAAATTTTGGTCCATGTTAGCAAGTTTTCATTAGTTTAAGACTACGCTAATAAACTAATTATTTGTGTTATGTATTTTGGATTCAGGTTTGTGTTATGTATGTTGCATGATTTTGTAGACTTCTGTTGTATATGTTAGATTAAAATCATTTATGTTATAAATGATTTTATTTATATATAACACGGTTCGTGTTTATATTATGCAAAACGGGGTTGTATAATATAACAATAGATAGTTTTCTAAAATAACATATAATAGCAAAAAATAAACCGATATATTTTTATATCATACCGAGAAGAATTAGCCATAAAATTTTACATCATATTTCAACGTCATAACTAAATTATGTACTTTATTAGTCTTATTCTATAATGTAATTTTTTCTTAATTAAAAAACATTAAAAGAAATCCATCATTTGTGATTTTAGTTGAAATAGAAAACTTACAAAAGATATTACTCTCAGTCATTATTATTCCAAACAATCATATAAACTTCCAGTCAAAATGTTGAGCGAAAATATCAAAATTTCTTGAATTTCTTTCATATTCATTTGATATCATTGTGAATAAATTTGTAGTATTACCTACAGCAATTATTTTAGAAAGAAAAAAATATATATCAATCCCAAAAAGTAAAATAAAACTAATTAAGTGAAAGGGAAAGTAAAACAAATGAGAGATAGAGTTTCTAATGCTTATGAGAAGAAGTGCAAGGAGATGGAATGTAACTATGATCAGAAGGTCTAAACCTAAGCTCACAGCTAAGGTTACACTCGAACTTGACCGATCCTAATGGTCCGACTCGCCACCGAGTTTTCGAGCCACCTTTGAGCTCGAACGTAATAACATCTTGTTTAACCGCATAGTCTACAGCTTGCATCAAAGTTGGATTCAATGGTATTGGATATGACTGAACCAAGTAAGGAAGGAACATTGATTTCTCTTTAACAACTTCAAACTCAGGCGCTTTTAAAATCGCAATAAGTTTCCCATCATAGCTTAGCTTGAACTCGGTTTCATCAAACAACGCATGAGCCTTAGCGTTATGATTGTCTACGCGAATCACAATTGTTAACTGCGTTTGCAAAACTCCAACTATATCATACCTGAGAAAAATATATCGATCATTAATGATCTAAGTTCGTGATCAAGGAAAGGGAAGAGTTGCGGAAAAAATAACCAGTACTTTAAGAAGTCGAGGTGAGCATCCGTGACACTAATGATGGGAACTCGAGGATGAATGACCATGTAACCAACGAAGACTAAAATGCCACCAATGATTACAACAATAGAGATTATAGCACAAATGATAGCTGCACACCAGATGAGAGGACTGGTGGTACCGTGACGAGAAGTCAATCTGGGCATTATTATGGGGTCACGGGATTGGATTTTAGTTCGGGTTCGATGAGACAACATTCAGGCTCTGTGACCAACGTTCTTGGCCTTTTGGTGGGTTTGGGTGATGTTTGAGAGAGGATAATGGAATTTGAAGGATTTGGTACTAAACCCTACTTGGTGGGGAAAGTTTTGGTATCTTTCTTTACTTTGGGGTAAAGGCAAAATGGGCTTAGCAAGTAACATACATAATTGGATAAAGTTGTATACTTCTAAATTTTAAGGAATCTTCTTCTTATGTATGTAAGGTCTAATGTAATTCTTAACTTGTAAGTATTACTAACTTCGCTTATGTGTGTATATGTAAATCAAATATTAAATATTAAAGCATATGATGTACGTATATATTTAATGATGTGCATATACCAAAAAGGTTCGTAGTACTTTTTGTTCTCTCTACATGAACAAACATTCTCTCCTGAGGCTAAAGCTCATCAGATTTTAAAAAGGAACATGAACTTGCCAATATGATATGCCTACACATCTAGAGATGTGGTAACCGTAAAACTGTTTTTTACCCGAAAAGCTGAATTTAAAAGAAGCGGTAAGAGAAGAAATGCGGGTACGCAAGTGACCAATAAAGCGTTCTGAGGAAGACAATAACGCAGCAGGTCAGAAATGTGTGTTTCTGCCTCGGCCTCTCCCACCAGAGTAGTAACCATAACCCGAGTTTGCGTAGTAGTTGTTATTGTGGTATCCGCCTCTGTAATTGGTTTGTGCAGCGAGATATGCACCCTGACCTGGTTGTAGTGGAGGTGGCCTTTGAAAATTACTAGCAAATGCCTGAATAAAAAGATAAAGAGAGCAAAAAAAGTCCATAAGCAAACACTATTGCGATTTGGAGAAGAATAGTAACTTCGGTTTGGTGGATATAGAAACGGTGAAACAAACCTCAGGAACTTGTCTCATGTGCTCGGGAAACTGGGTGTGCTGTTGTCCGCTTCTTCCCACACGGTCAAGTGGATTGCATGAGATTGTGTCGAAAAAGTCATCCTTGTTATATGCAGGCTGCAACAGGCAAAAACAGATATTAACCGCTGCTTGAAATATCATATAAATCATTAACTAGGTCATGTAAGAACTTGAACTTAGATCTCTCTGAGATTTAATCAAAGTTAGAAAATACCTGTACGTTCCCTTCAGCGTTTGGCTCAATTGCAGTTTCTTCCCGGTAATCATTTTGATTTCTCTGGTTACTTTTCCCAAGATAACCCCATAGTTCACTCTTATTGAACTTCTCATTCATTGCCTCAAAATCAAATTCTTCAGTGTACTCAATGCTAGAACTAGGGATCCGAGACTGCAACACATTTAGAACCAAAGAAAAAACAAATGAAAAATCATGAAATGTGTTGAAAGGATACAAACCAAAGTTGCAATGCTTTGAATTTCCAGTAACACTTCCAAGACAAAGAGAGAGGCTAAATGTATCACTACTAGTGACATCATGGAAGAACCAATGTAATCATGAATACTTTTTATAATAATCATGAGAAAATCATGCATAGGTGTGATATCTACGAGAATACATCAGAAGAAGAATTAAATAGGAAGATACCTGATGAGCTGAAACTGGAAGAGGCAGCAACGGTGCATGATTTCTGATAGCAAAACTTTGTGATGGCACATTCGCTGATATCGGGTTAGGTGCAAACATCTCTTGACCCCTATATACCATCTGCTGCCTAGATTGCGGTAACGGATTCATACCGAAGAATGACTCAGGCGACTTTGACAATGGACCAGGAATCACAGGAGATGAATTGGAGGCCACAGCAGGTAACTCATAAGGTATAGATCGGTTTGGATGATCAGACTGAGAGTCATAGACAACTTTACCAACAGCCCGAGGCGCACTGGGGTAACTGTTCTGAATATTTGGAGCAGAAAGCTGCGGTTCAGAAGGTGGAGAAAGGTTAGAGGGTGCTGAAGCAAGGCCAGGTGGAGTATGGAGTTGTGCTTGACCAAGGGGAGAAGGGTTGGAAGAGTATGATCGATTAGAAGCAACATCAGGTGAACGAGTAACAACCTGTGTTGAATCATTCACTACTCCCATGATTGGTGAAGCAAAATAATCTATAATCTGCGAATCATTGGGTACGGTCGAGGAGGATGAAACTGGCTGCTGCTTCATACCAAGAGGGACACCAGTGGAAGCTAATTTGTTACCTTGCACAAAAGAAGGCATGGGCATAGAGGAACCAACATTACTTTGAGTTGAACCAATTAAGCTCACTGGTGAATCTGTCAAACTTCCAGCATTAGCTGAAGAAGGAGGCTGGAAACTTAAAGGGACTGATGAATGTTGTGTGACAGGAACCGGTTTACTACTCAAAGCAGGTGTATTGATCCATTGTGATCCTCTCCCCAAACCATAACCGCTATCATAGCCAGAAATTGGAGAGCTCATAGTCATAGCTGGCCTAGAGTGAGAGGACTGTAAACAGGACGGGGGAATAAGAGATTGAAAATCATGAAAAGTGATAAATTTAATAGACAATTCTCATTCTCCATGTTCTAAGTGAATGTCTATACCTGATTGATGTCTTGTTCACTTTGAATCTCCTGTTTTGATTGAGCAGATGGAGATGGGTTAACTTGCAGATCCTAAAACAACAAACAAGTATCAACATAAATCAAACTTAAATAATGATCATAGTTCAGGGGTTCCAACTTAAAAAGACCAACTACGAAATACATCAAACATAAAATGCCTAAGAAGGTAAGAATCTGAATACTAACCTTAATGTCACTTCCACGAAAAAGAATGTAATCGTAAACTCTATCACACGGCGGAATTTGCGGCCCATCTTTCTTCCTCCCCTCCGTTCCACATGATCTTACTGCACAACCATTCAACAGACAACATAATACTATCATTCAACACAAGAACGCCACATTTGAATAGCAACACAAGTAAACATTTGCTTGGTAACTTCACCTCTCATGATTCACTAACATAGAAGTTTCCAGATTTTTAACTCTCCACTAACTATCAACACAAATTTAAAACGCAAATACATATAAACGAATACTAAAGCTTCTCTTACATCTCCTTGAATCTAAGACCAAATCAACCACAAGAACGGAATCAAAATCAAATTTCCAGTTCCAAACGCAAACAAAGTGATGACGATATATATACTCGATGTTCCAGTTACAAATACACAAAGCATAAACATGTAATCTCTGCGTTGTTCGGAAAATCCAAAATCGCATAGGTTTTGGAATCCGTACCGTTTTGTAGACCTAGCGTCGAGTCCTGAACGTTGAGATGGTAGAGAATGCCTTCGTAACGGATCTCGTACTTAGAAATTAGACTGATGAAACTTCCTATAAACGTATCTCCGACGTCGTTCCCCGGCGACGGAGAAGGTAAAGATGACGGGGGTTGAGATGACGACGGAGAGGAAGATAGCGAACTCTCACTCGCCATTTTTTAGAGATTAATCAGTGGAATCAGAGCTTGTACTCGATTAGGGTTCTTGCTTCTGTTGCAATGTTGATTTTTGAAAAATCTCTCTCTCGGAGAACCGTCGTGGCTTGAGTTTGTCTCCGTCGTGATATATAAAGGCGGGGAGATCTGTGTGCCGTTGGTCCATCTTTGATAATAGTTGGGCCTTTATTAGGCCCATGATCTTTTTCTTTTTAGTCAGAAGTCAGAACTAGGACTATGTTCTTAAAATTCACAATTTGTTTTCAAATTTTAGAATTTAGAAGTTTAATGGGACTTTTAATCCATTTATGGGCTTTTTGTAAACCACTAAAACAAGTTAGATTTAAGTTTAACCATTAGTTAGTTAAATTAGGGACAAGACAATTCAACTAAGGGTGCTAATTTGGGAAGATTCTAAAATCTACCCTTATTGGATGTGGAGTCTTTTAAATGTCATCTAATACATTGGATATGGTCCATATGGAAATTTTCCCTAACTAATTCACAATCCACCATTATTCAATTGATCATTTATCAAAGTCAGAGAAATTCTTGGGCGTTGGATTTCCTATATTAAAAAAGAAAAAGAAAAAAAAGTAGAAAGGAATATTTGATTACAAGTTTTTAGCTCTATACAAGATCTAAAAAATCCCATATACAAAGATAAAATTTCAAGAGAATTAAAACACATTCTCAATGTCTCCAGATTGAAAAATCTTTACGGTTTAGGGATTAGAATACGATAGTTGCGGTTTGCACGAATCCTCGCGAAAAATTAGCAAAGATGTCACAAACCAAAAAATATGTAGAAATATATACATGTAGGCGGATTCAAGTTACTCATGCATAGATAATCTTTTGTAATTCCAAGCACTTTCTTCTACACATAGTTCTACAGTGATCATGCCCAAACTACATATATGTAAGTCTTTTCTTTTCATTTCTTTTTTCCGTATGTATGTGTCATGTTAACTAATAATTAAAAATGTAATACCTCTCGATCGAATCAGGTAAAACAAAATTAACAAACATATAACATACTCTCGAGTTTGATTCTTTTTTTTTTTTCTAAACAAAGAGTTTGATTCTTGATAATAGTTCCCCAACAGCCCCACTACTGTTTTTAATTTATAGTTTAATCTTTATAGTTAGTAAAGTTCGAACTTGCAATCTTCTTGTGAACTCTCGAGTTGGAAATATATTTTCTATTATCATTCGTCCTTCGCTAATCACAATTAATTTTTTGGACTTATTTTTAAACCATGGATTACAGCCAACTAATCAAATCAATATTGTAGTGTACAGTGCACTTCTGCACTATGACAGACTGTTTTCTCTTCGCAATCAATATAACCATAAAAATTTAATAACTTACCACCTAACACTTGTAATAAGGATAGTAACCTTCGGGATTAGATGCTATTCTTACCTAATAACGAAAATATAAGGTTGATAAGATACTTTAACTAGAAAAGGTATAAGATAAATATATTTTTTAAGTACATTTTTGCTCCAAGATAGAGTTCTTTGTTTGAGTCAAAAGTTCAATATTTATTTATAGATGATAACAAAAATATGTTTAGCTCTTTCCGATTTTGTTTTCAGTTTATTTAAGCAAAAATGGTAGAATAATTATATAATTGGTGAATAAAGATAATTATGAAGGCAACCAATTAAGATTTACAGATGTATTCTCAAAAGAAAAATAAACCAATGTTAATTATTATAATAGTTTATATATATATATATAGATATAAATATTAATATTCATCGGACGATCGTATCCGTAGCAGTAAATTCCTGTAACATGCAAAATTCATAAACCAGTAAACTAATCAATATAGGCCGAATGGGCACATTATTTACGACTAACGGTCAAGCTTCAAAGTCGTCCTTATATGGAATCGCCTTTTATGAATTCTTACGATATGTAATATAATTTCAAAATTGGTTTACTCCAACATCCAAATGTCTTTGATTTGATATTTAAACTTTTGACGATAAGGTATTGTATTCTTTTAATTTATTATCTTTTTTATTGTCTCATGATATTTTCGTTACGTAAAAATCAAAATGTTAACACTTAACATAAGAAACGAAGTGAATGGTAAACTATTGGTCAATGGTCATGATATGTTGGGCGATCTCATACTGCATAATTCAACATAAGATCACCCTGATCACTAAAAAAATCAAAATCGCGAATATTTTAGTAAGTTGATATTTACATCAATCCTCTAATCTTGAATCTTTATCATATTTTAGCGCTACGTTTAATTTGTCATCAAATAGCAAAAACAAAATGATTAGTATAATACTTTTGTTGTAGTGTGACCAAAGGTAAGATGACTAGTTAATTTACTGACTGCAAATTTTTCGACGTACTATTGATTTCATTTAAAATCCAGTAAACATATATATAATTTTTTTTTTTTTTTTGAAAAAAAAATCCAGTAAATATTGTTCCGTTACTTTAAACAATTAATAATTAAAACGATGATTAAGCTTTGAAATTCTCTTGGAGCCTTCCATATATTGTATTCACTAATCATTACATTGATAACAAAAGAATTTACAATTTGAAAAGAAGAAAAAAAAAGACAACCAAAAATAAAGATACACATGGAACATTTATATAACTAATTCTCTCTTTCTCTCAAAATTTAATTCTCTATATAAACTAAAACTTATATACACTTGGGGGTCCCGTTTGGGATTTTTTTCCCTTTCTACTTTCTTTCATTTCTGTATTTTTTGTTTAGCCAATGAAATATAAGAGAATTAGTTTTTTTTCTCTTAAATAGAAAAAAAATCCTCACTTTCTAATTTTAGAAAGGCAAATGGTATTCTCGTAATTTGTACTATGGTTTTCGTTCCAAGGCAATAGGCAATCCATTCTGAGGAAGAGCGAACGGCCCATACTGAATTCCATCGCTAGGTCCTACAATTGACCATCTGAAAATTACGAAAATACCCCTTATCAGAAACACTTCCCAAAAATAATATCATTTTTATGTCAATTCCAAAAGGACTATTATCATTTTAAAAGTGTACCAACCTGTACTTAGTGGTGAGATGATGGATTAGAACAGAGATTTCAAGTTTAGCTAACTCATTGCCTGGACAAGAATGAATCCCACTTCCAAAAGGCATGAATGTATTCGGTTTCGGCGCAACTTCGAATCTCGACGGATCGAATTTTCCCGGATCCGAAAATATATCAGCATTGTGATGAATATTTCTGAATAGCGGCAATACTTTCCATCCCTTTGGTATCAAATATCCTGTTAAATTAGTTTTAAAAAACATATTAGCATAATTCATATGTAACAAATTGATCTAAATACGATATAAAGTACGTATATTTGTACATACCTTCGTATTCGACATCTTCGACAGCTTCTCTAAATGTGAAAGATAAGATAGTAGCAGCTCTTAATGTCTCTTGGATTACTCTATAAGTTAATGGCATCTTCTTTGTATCTTCCCAAGTGAGACTCTCTCCTTCTTTTTTATCTTTCCTTATTGCCATTTGCTCTTCCTGTTTTACCCAACAAAAAACCCATTAATTTACGGAACTGCCATTCCCTTATGAGATTCTCTTTTTTTTTTTTTTTTTTTTTTTTTTTTTTTTTCTTCTAGAACAGTTGGATTATCAGCTAAGTACTTGAGGATCCACGTCAGCACACTCGCCGTCGTGTCTCTAGCGGCGAAGATAAATCAGCTAAGTACTTGAGGATGTTCGTCGCTTAATCCTTCTTTGTCTTCCATGAATGATCCGAGAAGATCTGTGTGTGAAGAGGCGATTTGTTCGTCGCTTAATCCTTCTTTGTCTTCCATGAATGATCCGAGAAGATCTGTGTGTGAAGATGAGTTTTGTCTTCTTTTGGATAAGATGTTAGCGAGGATTTGTGCTAGCTCCTTACGAGCTTTCATGGCTTTGTGGAATAGTGTTCCGGGGAGATTAATCGGCATCGAATTGTAACCTTTCTCTAGAATGTAGTAGCATCGTTTTAGATCTTCTCGGTAGAAAACTTCGTCTTTGCCGAGTATTGAGATCAACGCCACATTGAAAGTGTACTGATGAGACAAAAAATTTGTTCAAGTGTCAGTTATAAAACAGAGTATAGTGATAGAGAAAAACAGAGGATGCTCTGTTTTTTGAGACAGAGAAAAAACAGGGGACACTCTGTTTTTAAGAGAGGGTGGGGCTTACTGTTTTCATTTCTTGGTAAGTGTTGAGTTGAGTTCCATCCCAAGAATTGAGTGATTCTTGAGCGATTGATTCAATGTGAGGGACCATGTTTCTGATTGCATCAGGCATGAAAGCTCTTAAAACTAGCTTTCTAAGTTTGGAATGATAATCTCCTTGGTGGAAAAAGATTGCTTGTTTTCCAAGCATCCTCTCTTTACTCGCCGGAAAAGTCGGTTTAAACAAATGAGACTTGGTAACCAATACAAATTTCGCTGCTTCAGGGCTTGAGATCATCACACATGGACATCCCAATACATGAGTCTTGAACACCGATCCGTATCTGTTTTTAACAAAAAATGTAAGAAAAAGTCAACTTTTCTGTTTTTAGACAAGAAAGTTTGAATTTTGAGGATTTTCAAGAAGACTCTGTTTTTAGACCTTCTCTGTTTTGCTGCGAAGAACACATTAGGGTCTTGTGAGTAAAGTTGGAATGTTTCGCCGACGTAAGGATAACCCATTGTTCCCGGAGGAAGAGGGAGATTCGTGGAGGAGCTACGGCGGATTCCGGCGATAAATCGGAGTAAACAAAGAAACAGAGCCACCGCAAAGAGAGTGAGAAACAAATCGGAGAAATCCATAATTTTTTATAAAACCCAATTCGTCCTTTAAACAATGGGAATTGGAAGTATGTGTGGTGAGTTCTCTCTAATGGATTGGTTTTTGTGTGAGAGATGAAAAATCAAGTGGGAGAGATGGATTGGTTTTATAGGCAGTGGAGGAGAGAGAGAGAGATGAAACAAATTGGAGAAGGGAGTTTCCGAAAAGGAACCTTTTTTTTGGAGCCAGCTAATTTGAGAGAGTGACGAGAGCACGTGTCGAAGAGCATGCAAAAAAAAAAAAAAAAAAGGAGCGTGTGAGATTTTGACCAAAAATTAGCCATCGTTAAAATTAATTTATGCCTCTTTAATTAATTATTAAGATTAAGTCAAGGAAAGGGGCAATTTTGGCCCTTAAGTAGAGACAAAGGAGGTAATGAGAGTTTTTTTTTTTTATTATATGTTTTGCCATGTTAATGGAAGTATATACACTTCATGGATTATATTAGTTCTTTAATTATGTAAGCTTACTAAGTACTAACCCTCTTGTGTTTATCTCTATTAAAAAAAAAAAAATGTTGGAAATAAAAATAAAGAATAGATCAAATGTATGTAACTATGTATGATTTTGTGTCCGACTATTTTGAAGAGATAGCATATATTACCAAGTAATTAACCATGCTTCACACTTGTTTGAAAAATCGGTAGGCGCTAATCGGGCGTTCGGCATGGACCTAGCGATTAATCGGAAAATCGGATTTAAATCGGTGATTAATCGGGGATTAGTTTTAGGGTTATTTTAATATTTTTAAAACATATTAATCCAATATTGTTTTCAAAATTGCAGTAAACATATAAAAATATATTTTTGAGACTAATTTTTATGATTTTTATTACAAATTGATGATTTTTATTGAAATTTGAACATAAGTTATTGTAAAATATCACAAACTCCCAATTCAAATGATTGAATAACAAAAAAAAAAAAATTATACTTACAATCTAAAAATAATCAGGGTATGTAAGATTAGGCGGAAAATAATCGGATTAGGCGGAGAGTAATCGGGTAACTGATTTCTTTAGGAGATTAATCATTAATCGAGGCGGATATAGTGGGTCTAACGATTAAACGGGGAGTAATCGGGGTAAGCGGGGATTTTTAGAACAGGATGGTTCACTCATAGTACTACTTGAAATTGGTAATAAGAATTTTTATTGAACATAAACTCTTTTTAAACATACGTATATGTTACCAATTGAGTTTTAGAGTTTTTCTTTTACATTCAGGATTGTTTACAACATTGGATTTTATCATTTTAATAAAAATGGTTACAACTGTTTGATTAAAAACATCCCTAAAGCGTTTTTTTTTTTTTTACTCATACTAAATTAGTCTCTGGTATACATGCTTTAGTCATTTCAATTACAAATTTTACTTTTGTTGCACTAAAGAAAATTGGAAGCTGGTAATTAGCCCGTCATGAAAATATCACGTGTGGTCATTGAAAACAAAAGACAGACAATCCAAATTTTCAGGATTAATCACTTATGATTATATATATGTCACTCATGGTAAGCCCACTTGTTACTAACTTAATTATTAATAGATACTTCTAATTTCTCTCCCACGTTCGCCGTGCATTACAGCCATATATTAGTATTTAATTTAGTAGCTTATACGAATTAATCAAAACCTATGTGGTTGACCCCAACAAAAATCAAAACCTATATATGTGATTAGAACTTCATCATCAGATGACATATAAAACTAAAAATTGACTTTTATTTTTTCAAATCATACAAGTAGGTTTAAATTACAAATATGATCAATGAAAATGAGTATTTAGTTTTGATAAAAGTTTTAATATTCATTGACTTTTGTTTTGTATCTATTTAATACAAATTGACTTTCTGCCTGTAAAATAAAAACATAATATTTCTTGGGGGATCTAGGACCAAAGACTTGTATACTTATTTGTCTACGTCCTTATTAATTTTGGAAGTTAGAGAAGTCTAACTATCACCAAACATCTTGTAAAATTAATACATAAAGTAGTACATATTAATTTTAACAACTATTGCACCTAAAATATATAGAATCGTGTGTCTGGAGGTTTTCTTGTACCTACCGGCTTTGTCTCCAAAAGGATCTTGTTCCTTGTTGGCTTTGTATAGCTTTCGGTTATCTTTTACGAATAAATAAATCTTTAGACGAAAAAAATATATATATATAGAATCATGTGCCCCACGCCCCCACCATAGATTTACATATTAATTAGTTTGACCCTAAAAAAAATGATTAAATATAGTTTACGAACTATGAAACGTAAAGTTAACGTGGAACAATCTGATATGCATGGATTGTGTAAATCTGGAGTTTTGCTTAGCTTAATCAGAAAATTCTAAATTTATGATAATATTTATAATGGATCAAAAAATTAAAGATAAAATTTTTTCACTTGAAGGAAGCGCCAAACGAAAACAATACAACTATACACTTTGACCCAAGAAATTAATGTTGAATTTGAGACAGTCAAAATCGGTTAGAGATCGACAAACTTATAATCAACACATAGTTTAGTGACATTTGTCTTATCAAGGTCATGGCCTCCATATAAATCTTTTTGAAGATAAGAATATGTGACTTTTCATATTCAAGAAACATCCACATCTCCACATAATTTAATAAATACAAAAATCATAAATTTTAAAAGTAGAACAGTGACTATATATAGTTGGGGAAATTAATCATAGAACGATTCCAAATTTAATGTCTTTCAACAAGAAACATATATACGCGGTCGAATAAATATGTAAGTTGCATCGTTACGCGGCTTAAGATCTCGTCTCTTGCTGCTCATTATATTGTACGTAGCAGTGCCGTGGTACGACTTCTTCAAATTAATTTAATTATATTATATGATTGTCAAAGGGAATTTATCTATCAAACATGGCGTGCAAATGTGCAATCATGCTGGTGTAGTTATTAATTATATCGTAATAATATAGAGAATATTCAAAGTGACAATTTAGTTGATACCTTATACACTTCACAAATTTAAAGATAAGTTGTTTACGGTACATTAGAATACAAGTACGTGCTTTAAGCCAAATGTGTGATCTAGCAGCAACTTTTGAATGACACTTTTTTTTTTTTTTCATTTACCGAATTTATCCCGATAGAAAGATACGGAGTATATAATATTATGGGATATAACCACATGGTGGTGGGCGAGTGGTTCTCGTTTGGTTGGAAAGATCGCCCTGTTGGTCTAGGCCAGGGATCGATCCTCCCCAGACGCAGTTTCGCTCTCTCACTCCTGTGGCTACCTGGGAATTTACATGCGGACTTGCTCAGGCGCCCCAGACCACTAGTTTATCAGGGGGCCCTTAAGTGGAGGCTTAAAAATCCCTGTGACGTGAGCTTAGGCCGAGTGGACTAGTCAGATCACTGTGTGGTCTGGATACTTGGTTATCAAAAAAAATATTATGGGATATATATATATATAAAGAAGATATATATTATGTATGTTGGATATACTGAAATTAATATAACATAAAAAGTGAAAACATCGGACGTAAGTGTTACAAGTGTGTTTTCGTAAAAAAAATATTAGTGTGAATAAAAACGGCTGATATATGTGTTTGTTTCACGACAAAACACAATTTGCGTTGCATTAAAGTAATACTATGTCTAGCAGATGTTTGAGCAAAACCAAATTTTTTTTTTTTGTTAAAGAAAACAATTTGTTGCGCAAGGGCGTTTTATAATTTTATTTTCAATAAACTGCACATATTTATAAATTAAAAAATCATTAATTTTATGACTTTCTTTTGCAGCTGGAGGTTCGTGAGTACGTAGAACAATTGTACCCTCTGTATTTGTTTTTCTTTTAGTTCCTTCAAATTTAATTTGATCAATTTTACTTTAAACAACATTTGAGATTGGACTTTGTACTGTATATTAGTATATATTCACAACTTATACACGAATAAGACTTTATATATATGAAAATATTCATAAATATCAGGAACGTCACAAGCTAGATGATTTTTGTACCTTTAGACCGACTATATCTTTTTTGAACATGTAAACATGCAGTGACGGAGCCAGGATTGTTTTTAACTTGAGTCAAAATAAATATTAAAAAAAATTGTTTATAAACTGTAAAAAAAAAATCTATAATTGCATTCTACATTCATTCATACCTTTTCTAAACAAACGAATCATATTACAAAGTATAAGACATTTTTATAAACAAAAAAAAAGCAAAAAAAGCATTACCTTGATTTAAAGATGCCATAATTTGGAGTTTTTTTCAAGCGGCAAAATTTTTTTATTATTATTTCTCTATTAATTCATATAAATCATTAAAAGTTGTATTATTGTTTTGGGTTTCGGTTGAACGTGGGTTCAATTTCGAAAAATATTGCACTTTTCATGTATGTAAATTAGTTTTTTGATTGAATCAATGGGATCAAAAGATAATTTCAATTGGGTGCATTAGATCTAATAGTAAAATATATGATAAAATTTTAGAAAGTAGTTGGGTCAGCTGACCCCACTACCTATAGTGTGCCTCCGCCCCTGTAAACATGCCTTTATTTGCGTGCGTGACAGAAGCTTACTTTACTTGGATTTACGTGGGCTACTTCCCGATGTGGAAATCTGGATTTATTTGTTAATTCACTTTAATACTATAAATGTGCCAAATTTTGTCTCTTTATTTGTTTGTTTTCGCAATGGAAATCTTCTTTCACCTTCTTGGTTATAGCCCCGAATCTAGCAATAGTTAATTGGTATGGCGTAATATTATCTATATTGGTATTGCCCCAAAATATGGCGTATGCATGCACAAATATAACGTAATTACAAAAATGATGTATGTAATATAACCATATCTCGATAAATACAATACTAGCATCTTTGAAAATGAAGAGTTTTTCTCACATGGAGGCCTGATAATTCTTGAATTTGTAAATTGTAAGTCTCTGAACCGGCTTACGTATACGTACATACATCATATATAATTACATTGTACATACATAATTTCATTTTTACGTCATGTACTGATGTACATACATGTGTTATATATAGTTGAAGAGAATTGTGGAATAAAGTAGCAACTAGGGAGGCTAACGCCT